TGACTGATTCAAATGGAAAAAAAAAGACTGAGTCTAAAAAAAAAACAAGTCTAACGAGTTTTACTTAAAACGACACCAGGGAATGAATCTAAGGAGATATAACAACCTGCACAGGAGAGTTACTAACAAGCATTCCTGCACTGCAGTGACCCAGAGAAAAAGATGAAAGACTACCCAACTTTGAAATTAAATTTAAGTGACGGAATAAAAAGGGATAATTTTTTTTACATACTTGTTTTGTCATTTAAATTCGGAATAAATCTGGTAGTTTCCAGCTGTAGGGTGATAAATAATCCTCACACATACAATACATTAGGCCCACACACTGTTCCTGAGCTTACCCTGAATTTTCCTTAGGAAGAAGGTCCTACCTACCATTCTCCAGTTCCAGCAAGTTTTCCCTCCTCCTGTATTCTAGTAATCATGGAAAATCATGGAAAGAAAGAATAAATGAGGATCTCTAGTAACAAAATAGGAAAAGCAAACAGACACAAACAGTCGTGGAGATGAAGAAACATTAAAAGGCAGCTGGGATGGGAAGGGAAGCCAAGAGGGTTAAAAGTCTGTGTACCTGAGCTTTTACACTGTACTTGTTTTGGCAGTGCCTGCAGAAGTGCAGTGCCAAAAATCACAGTGTGGCAGAATGTGTTACCTACCCCAGTGAAAGGAGAACAGTGTGACTGAGCTGAGAAAACAAAACCTCATGGGGGCGGGCAGGGGGGAAGCAGCAAACAAAAAAACCATCGAAAGCAGCCTGGCCCAGGGCAGTCATGTGCTTCACAGTTCCCCTGCTCAGCCCAAAACACTTGCTCACATATAAAATAAAAATATATAATAAAGGTAATATATAAATAAAGCATTAGGGGATAACTGGGGTTACTCTGAACTGAATTCATTAAATATTCTGGTAACTTACTTTAGACACACGCAAAAAAGTCATTAACTCAGCATATGGATTTCCACCATAATCATTGTTCACCAGGCCTCAAACAGCTTCCTGGTGCTGGCTCCCCTCTTTTGTGGTCCCAGCCTCACCTCCAAATGCCAATAACTATGTAACTTAATCAACACAAGTCAGAATGCAAGAAACAGATGCCAGGCAAATATATTTAGCTTTTGCAGGAAATACCAGCCTGTGGCCAGAACTGCTCTTCAATACCTAACAAAATGGTGCTATTTAAGGAAAAAAAAAAGTATTAATTTGATAGTGATCTGAAAAGCAGTAAGTTTTAAGGATTTCAGAAGTGCAATTCCCTTTAAAAGAAAAAAAAAATCACGGAATCTCTATTTCAGCAGACACAATCCCATGTCTGCAGTTGTCCTTCTAAAAACAGAACTTCAAATTCTACATTGAACAACCAGTGAGTCCAGTGAGAACACTTAATGAATCCTCAACCAAGCAGAAAAAAAGGTGGAAAACCTCCTCAGATTTCCACAGGTGTGCTCAGAAGATTGTAATCTCGCTTAGGTGAGACACAGCTCCCTGTGGTTTGATGAGTCTGTGAAAAGTTGTTGAGCAATACCACATCTGAGCTGTTCCAGACTGCTTTCCATAATTACACGATTTGCACAACGGTGCTGAAGGTGTGGCCCATCTTACAAATTCAACAGATTCAGTCTGTGACACTTTGCAGTCCTGCCAATGCCTCCAGCTACTCTGCTTCCAACTTGAGCAGAAGTTTCAGAAATTAAAGTGCTTGGAAAGACTGCACTCTAATTGGAATTAGCAGACATCTGCACGCAGCATTTCATGTGACAGCACTGATTAAAAGCCGTTTTCAGTTTCTGCACTATTTCTACTTTATATATTCATCTCCTCCTAAATGCCCAATTACGAAAACAACACACTGTCTCGGGATCTGCAGAAAAATCATTCTGTGCTCTCTTTTGATAGTCCTGAAGCTCCTCAAAGCAAAGCTGCTCTCTGCACTGCTCACGGCACAGGGCATGCCTGACTGCATTAAATACTCGGGGGAAAGCAAAACCTTTCTCTAAACACGGGTGGCTTAAACTCTCAGACCTCCAACCTACCTGACAGTAACAGAAGTTCTAGAGACACTCAACAATGAACATACAGCATTACTCACTCATTTAGAGCAAAAACATGCACACTTGGATCAACACCCCTGTTGCCAATGCTTCCTCTTAGTGCTTTTTTAGTGTGTCCCTTCACCACAAGGCCTCCAAAACCAACTCTGGCAGGTAGCTTTCAAGGGGAGCTGATTTAGGCCAAAAGAGCAATTCAGGCTGATGCACATGCTCAGTAACTTGAGTAAAGCTGGCTCCAAATACCAGCACCAAATGCAACACTCCTACATTGCACAATGACACAACATTCAGTGCTGTGAATCAAATAACAATATTCCAAAGTGCCTCCAGATTGTGAAATTATTGCTGCAATCAAGAGTTTTTGCAGAGAGACGAGGGAAAGGTACTTAACCGATGTGCACCCTTCAGCACGGCAACTCCAGCTCCTCAAATCTCAGAAACACCAGATAATGATAAAAATAGCCACGGGCACTCTGAGCTAAGCACTCGCTCTCCAACCTACTCTGCAATGTTTTGCTATCGCTGGCACTGTCAGGTGGCTGCCAGAAAGCTTCCTGGATCACTCTCCTTTTCTGGAAAGGTCAGCAGCAACCAGCAACAGGACCGACAACAAGCTCTGAGTTAAAGACAACGTACTTGATGAGAGATGCCCTGTAATTACAGAATGCAGAAAATTACCTCCCGAATATTTTTCTCCAACTGACGGGCCGCTGAGAACAAAAAGAACTAAAACCACAGAACTTTAGAAATGGTATCAAAAGTAATAGGAAATGCATTAAATTTTGACAAGATATTAATTTTCACACGGTGTTTTCTCTGTTTAATTTTATATTACCAGAAAAACTAGCAAATAATACATGGCATTTACAGTGACTTGACACAAACCAGTATTACACATCTTTAAAAAAAATTAAGGTCATTAAAATGAATACAAATAAGAAAAACACAATACTCTACATACCAATAAGGAGTTAATGCAACAATAATAACGTTACTACCTGAAAGTGAGAAGTGAGGCACTGCATTTTACTCTGCCAGTAGAAATGCAACATTTGTTTTGAAAAAGAACGATTTTCATTTACTTTAAATTAAAAAGAGCTTGCTGTTTGTTCACTGGAATGTTTTAAGTTCAATGTACTTCTTCTCTAGCCACTTGTTAAGATTTCCACAGTTATCTGTGTGAGTACTGTGTGACTTATCTTAATTTTCTTTAAAAGCATTACAAACAAGAAACTCCCCCAGATATGGCAGCGAGTTCCCTTCCTCCTGCCTCAGAGCTGTAAAATAAATCAGTTGACTGCCCAGCATCTGGCTCTCCCTGTAAGTGCTGCTTTGGGAGAAATACCTCTGAACAACAAAGAAAAACTTGTTCTAACTGCTGAACTTCTTTGTTGAGAAGCAGAAGCAGCATGAAAAACAGAGACCTGCAGCTGTAAACTGGCTTTTTTTTTTTTTAAGCTGGGAAGCAATATTAATACCTCGTTATATATTTTTAGATTTGGCACTTTTATCTTTTTTAAGTTCTCTGAAGGGTGGTTCCCTACCGCCATATGCTTCTGGTTGACAACTTTGCTCACCCTTGATATTCCGAAGATAACAGATGGACCCAGAGACTTAAACTTCTTGTAAATAATTTTTTTTCCTCAGTAAAGAAACATCAGGGACAACGAGTTTCCCCGTGCTTCTGACACTCTTTCTAATCATTTCTCCGGATGACTGTGCTGCGAAATGAACACCCTCCAAATCAAAGAGCATTTCAGAGAAAAGTAACTGGTTTGGCCAAAGGAAGCAGCGACGCTACCACACCTTGGCTCCCGGAAACTGCAATCAGGGAACAAGTTAAGCAGGCAGAGCCTTCCCACACGGAGGCACCGACGCTGCCAGACAAAGGACAACCGTCTTTCCTTTAAGAACAAGGGACACCTCAAATTATCCAGCCGTCCAGGGCTCCCCGATGGGTCATTCCCAAGGGAGGCTTTCCCTCCAGTGCCCACCGGCTGCCCCTCTAAGCGGGGCCTACTTCCCACCTTAGACCGGGCTTCCCTCTGCTTTCATACCCAGCCCGACTAAAACTCCAGCAAACAAAAACACGTACCGAAATCCACGGCAAACCTCGGGGGTTACCTGTGTGGAAGTGTGCGGTGACCCACGAGAAAGCTAAATCTGAAGCACCTCGAGCACGGCACCTTTAAAGGGAAAGCCCCTGAACAAATAAGATCGTGCGAGGGACAGAACCGAAGGCAGGGTATATTGCACAGGCGGTAATTTGCATTATTAAATCGAAGAGCAAAGTACTAATAAAAGACGGCCTCTGCACCCGCACCGACCCACGGACAGAGCGGGTGAGCCCCGAGCCCCGACCGCCCTCACCGCCGACCGAAGGGGGGTCCCGAGCGACGCCTCCAGCCGCAGCACTCCAATAAACTACACTCTCCAAAGTCCTCGCACAGATGTATATTCCAAAAAAACCACAAAACAAAAGGAGAGTAATCTCGGTCGGATTTCCAGCACCCCCCGACCCCACAGCCGCCCCCGGTCCCTCAGCGCCGGTCCGGGCAGAGCCCGCCCGCGGCCCCTCCGCGGGCAAAAGGAGAGCGGAGCGGCCCCGGGTCGGGCCGGGCCGGGGGGCACCGGCCCCGGGACAAAGTCCGGGTCCGCCCCGGCCGGCCGGGGCAGCCGGGCAGCCGCGGGGCAGCCGCGGGGCAGCCGCGGGCTGTGAGGCAGCCCCCGCCCCGCACACCCCGCACACCCCGCGGGCGGCGGGACGCGCAGCCCCCCCAGGGAGGGTCCCGCGGGGCGGCCCCGCCGGAGCGGGCCGGGGCTGCCGCCCTGCCCCGCGCCCCCGGGCCCTCCCCCGGCCGCGGGGGCCCTCCCGCCGCCGGGCACCGAGGACAAAGGAGCGGCCGGGCCACCGCGGGCCGGGCGGGCCGCGCAGCGCAGGCCGCACTCACCGCTGCAGCACCAGGAGGAGGGCGAGCCCTGCGGGAACTTGGCCGAGTCGGGCGCGATGCAGACGCTGGAGCCGAGGTGCGGGCACTCCATGGCGGGGTGCGGGGCGCGGAGCGGGGCGGGCGGGCGGCTCCTCGCGGCGCTACAGCGGCGGCGCCCCGCGCACAACAGCCATCTTAGGGCCGGCCTCCCGCTCCGCTCCGCGCCGGCCGCGCCGGGCTTTGGGGGCGCCCGCCCGTCCGCCCCCTCCGCGCTCCGCCCGCCGCGCTTTGCCGGCAGCCGTGACGGGAGCGCTCGTGCTGAGGGAGGCAGGGGATGGTTTGGGTGGGGAGGGACCTCGGGGAGCACCCCCTTCCACCCCTGCCATGGGCAGGGACACCTTCCGCTAGCCCAGGTTGCTCCAAGCCCCGTCCAACCCGGCCTTGGACACTTCCAGGGACGGGGCAGCCACAGCTTCTCTGGGCAACCTGGGACAGGACCTCCCCACCCTCACAGGGAGGAATTTTTTCCTAATATCTAATCTAAAGCTACTCTCTGTCAGTTTGAAGCCATTCCCCCTTGTCCTGTTACTGCGTGCTCTGCTAAATAGTCTCTCTCCATCTTTCCTGTAAGTTCCCCTCGGGTCCTGGAAGGCCACAGTCAGGTCACCCCAGAGCTTCTCCTCTCCAGGCTGAACAATCCCAACTCTCCCAGCCTTTCCTCCCAGCAGAGCTGCTCCATCCCTTTAATCCTCTTGGTGCCTCCTCTGGGCTCTCTCCAGCAGCTCCGTGTCCTCCCTGTGGTGTTCCCCAGGGCTGGAGCAGCTCTGCAGGGGGGTCTCCCCTGAGAGGGCAGAGGGGCAGAATCCCCCTGCCCTGCTGCCCTCACTGCTTTGGAAGAGCCAAATGTGCCCATGACCGGCTCCTGCCCAGCCTCTCCCCCCCGTGTGGGGTCCCGCAGGATGCACGGCCTGGAGCGTGTGCCAGCTCTGGGCTCTGCCTTCAGGAGCCCTGTGGTTCGAGGTTGTCTTGTGTCTCTGATGATTATTTGCAAATATCGTCACCTCACACTTGGGGTGTTTTTTAAAGAGTTACGTGGCCTCAAATTTGGCTTGTTGCTGAATTTCCCACTCTATGACTGTAACCTGTAAGGGGTAATAAAACCACAGCAATTGGCTCAGCAATTTGCCTGTGCCAAGATCATACCAATATGCTCTTTTCACACAGAGCAAAAAAAGTCCACCAGCATGATGCCTGTAAAAGTGGGGATTTTTTTCATCTAAGGAACTGTGACTCCTCCTGCATATTAGGAGTTTTAGACCTTTTCTCTTACTGTAACTAATGTGAGAAATAAAATTTTGCCACTGGTTTTGCCTGTTATGTGACCTTTGTGTAGACACGGAAAGCATCTGTCTCAATGTATTTTACACAGCACTGCACTATTTCACAGTTCTGTATGGATTTTCGGATGAGATACTTTAAATATTCATATCAAAGATGTCTTGGTGGTCACAAATCTCCTTGGTAGAACACTGTTCCTTAACCCCTTTGTTCTTTTTCACTGCGTTTACACAAGGGAGAAGAATTCAAAGCGTGAAAGATCCAATTCTCCACAGCATCAGAAACTACTTTGACTACACTCCATGGAGATAGTTTGTATTTCTAGCTGTGCACTTAAAAGCAGAATTAGGTAAAAAATACCAAACTGAATATAATGGCTGTAAATGTTATCTTGACACAAAACCATGGAGCTTCCTCACATATCCCCCGTCCTTCAAAGTTGTCATATTTGATCAGTCAGGTAAGTAACATGCCCAACATACATTTTACAGGTTGTACAGAAAGCATGTAATTATATAGTTTTCTAACAAGTATTGTATAAATAGAGCAAAAATGAACAGGGAAGACCACGTTTAAATTCATTTCATACAATACGACTTTGATACACATCTAAAAATTACTTGTACAAATTTAAGGAGCAAAAAGGTGGTCATGTTTTACATTAGCCAAGGGGTCCTTTTGCTTACTCTCCATCCTCTGCCACAATGTCTAATGAAGACATACATTAAATTAAACCAGCAGTTTCACTGCAGTTGCCTTCTGTCTTTTCTAACCAATGCATATATTTAGTGCTCTTGTTGTGCCCCACCCATTCTTACACACAGACAGTGAGTAAGAAACCTTGATTAGATCTGTTCTGCTTGTTTTCCCCTTGTACCCCTGTCACTTGGCCTTCTCTAACCAGTATTCTGCAACCAGATTTTAACCAGAACAGCCAGTTCTCACCTCTGTGTGGATTATGTTGGCAATGTATTTAGTCTTTCAGAAGTAAGGAAACTGGTTAACAAGGATTGAATATGGTAAAATCAACATGTTTGTGTACTTTTGGCTCTCTAGTTTCCTTTTAGCACTGCCATTCTTGACTTTACAGTTGATACAATATACCTGGAGAGGAGAACCAATTCCCCTCTTGAGCAAACAGGACGAGGGTCTGGCTCAGAAAAACAGTATGGCCTTGCACAGTCACAGTGGGACTATGAAGAAAGACATGCTCAAAAATGACTAGAAATATAAGGCCTATGTCCTGCTTTCTCTTAAGAGTTCCTCTTTTTAGTCCAGAAGGCTGCAAACTTGCAAACCTCGCAAAGAAAAAAAATGCATGACTTTGGTTTAATTTAAGAAGCCTTTGACTGTGGCCTAGTACCTTTATTTTAAGTTGCAACTTTAACTTGCAATATTAGGCACAAAAAAAAAAAGTCTCTTCTCCCCTGCTGTGGAGTTATTAAAATCCCCATGACAAAAGAACAGAAAGTGCTTGGAATTACGAGGAGGTTGGGAGGGACTGCATAACTCTGCTAAGCACAGCATTTCCTGGCATGACAGACACCAGATATGACTTCTCTAGGCAGCATTTAGCTGTGAAAAACTGCTAAATAAAAAGGTGTCAGCTTACCAAGACAGGCCCTTCATCCTCCATCCCTGATGTTTCATGTTCAGGAACCAAAATCATCCACACTGTTCCACCTGGTTCCTTTGCGAGATAATAATGGAGTTTTCTGCCTTCTTTCATTTGTGGCTTGACAGCCATTCAGTGAAACTCCCTGAAAAGTATAATTTTGCACAAAGATTTGCATATTTCTTTGTTTCAGTTGCCATGCCCACAGCAAATGTGGTAGCCTTTAAATGTTTTTTATCTCTGCTTGCCAAGATAAATACTTTAATAAGGATGATTTGATCTATTGGGAAGTCACAATGCACAGAAGTTATCACATATGTGAGGATGCATAAGGACAAGTATATTTGTAATGCAACCTCTTTGCCTACTGAAAAATAATTGGTGACTGATGCAACTCTGAGCACTCAGATCTCAAAGGCTTTACTTACAGCAAGGGTAGTTTCAAGTGCCTTGCAGTGAGACATCCGTGTTGAATGCAGAGGAAAACTGGAGTAGAAGCTCTGGGAACAATTTTCCTTTTTAGTTCACTTTTTCAGTGAGATTTCTTCAGGACAAATCACTTGATTTTGCATTGGAGTCTCATCTCTTGCTCCCATCCTTCTTCAGATCAGAGTAATTTAGATGATAGCCAAGATAAATCCTGCAGGCATGCTCATAATGGGTGCAATCAGTGCAGAACAGGAGCTTGTGATTCAGGATTATTAATTAGAAATTTCTATTTAATATAGCACATCATCTCTACTACAGCAGAGATATTCCACACAGCATCCTCTTTTGGGATATATGTAGCCATCCATCTATGCTACAGGCTCCCTCTGAGAGCATCTGAGCTTAGAATTTGGTCCTGAATTGGTATCTTGCATATATTCTAAGAATTTACAGTGGGGAAGTTTGCCTGGAGTTACTCTCTTCTGTTCTGCTGTATTCCTCAGACATCTGTGGTCTTAAATATTTGAAAATATTAATTTGCCTCCCGTGTGTATGAATTATGATATGGTATAATGATGATGCACATTTTCCCTGTGATCCTGGCTTCCTTCATAATCACTAGATGAACATCACTCATGGATCAGTGAAGCAGATTGTTGCCTTGGGTGACTTCTGCATTTGCTGTAGAGACTGGAGAGCGTGGAATGAAGGAGGGCTGGCCCTGGAGATGTGGAATGAATGCTAACCTGAAGAACTAGGATCTAATTCAGTCTTTGCCAGACAATCCTTGCATGCCACCTGCAAAGTTATTTAAACCCCTTTCTTTACAAAGTAGACCTGTTTGCTTTTGTTAGAGGACTAACGTCCTTCTCAAGGACAGCTCAGAAAAGAGAGAGGCCGGCCCTGTGCAGAGCACACACATTGGGACTTCCTATGGCTAAACATCCATCCTCCATTTCTAGATTAAGTGCATAAAGATAGAAAGAACATCATCTCCCATGGCTTGTTTCTTCTTTTCTGAGTGGTAAGCTCAGAATGTGTGGAATGAGGTTGGCAGATGCCCTGAACACTCATCTGAAAAGGGTATCAACAAGCCTTTTGCCCTGAGCACTGTCGTGGTTTAACCCCAACTGACAACTAAGTACCAGGCAGCCTCTCACAGCAAACACTGTGAACACACTCCATGCCAGTCCAGACCTTGCAGCAAATTGATAGATTGGGCTTTCACCTCTAATTTCCCAAAGGTGTAGAAGTGAAACATTCAGATATGACGGCGACAGCAATGGAGGCCACAGGAACCCACCACAGAGAAGTGAGTCCTTTGCTCGGTGCAGATGCTGGCGTGGAAAATATCAACAGAAAGCAGCAGAATGGAGGTAAATTCTAATGCAGGGTCTCAGCTTAATAAAAGCTTTCCTGGAGGTTGGTGAAGCAGCTCTGTGAGTTCTGTGCCATGTGCAGTGGACAGAAGCTTAGCTGGAGGCAGCTGTGTGTGGAGCTCCACTGCAGCACATCAAACAGCACGAGCACATTTCCGCTGGTGCGTTGTCTCATTAGCAAATCTATTTCCATTTCCTGTGTCTGGCCTCTGAAAATAAAGGTCACGCACATTTTCAGTGTTCAGTCATCAGAACACAAGCAACTCCCGTTACGAGGTTCAAGATGCTTCTCTAAAGGACAAGATGCCCCAGACGGAGGACAAAAATTAAAAACGAGGCGAAAGCCCAGAGCAAGCACCTGTGCTAGACTTTGGCACACGGGATTAA